CTGCAATGTGGATCTACCACATCACAGACAGTCTCTGAGATGTGAATGTACAGTAACCCCCCGTGTCAGGCATTGCCTTCAGGAACTTAGCTGAAGTCAGTCCTCATTAAAACAAATGCCTCTGCACCAGAATGCCATTTAAAAAACTGGAGTGCCTCGATGCTGGGTGCTGCTGCCTTGATCCAGGAGCCCTCACCAGGCTTTGAAGGAATCATCTCAGCAGAAAACCTGTGTGTAGACRTGACCTCAAACAGGTGTCTGTGTCAGTGCTCGTATATCAGGCACTCGTACACGTTTGTAGGGCAAATACAGTGCTTTATGTGGAATAGTAGCTGGCATGCAAGCAAATACTTGCTTTTATCTTTTTCACAGCATGAGACAAAAAATAGCGGTAGGATGCGGATTTGTTTCCTCYCTTTCCAGAGCTCACCAGGCCCTGGGCCCTGCTGCTCTTATTTTGGTTAGGATCACACAAAAATGTTGTGTTTTCGTGTCATCTGCCAGCACGCACCGGTGCAGCATTGGGTGGCACTGGCTTTAKTCCACAGGGAGCAGGGGCTGGTGTGCACGAGCAGCACAACGTGTCCATAGCCACGCGACGTGAACGTTTCTGCACGAGCTCCAGGCGCCGCGGAAGGAGGTTGTGTGACCAATCGGTTTAAAAAAAAAAAAAGGACAAAAATATAATTATTTTTGTGCGTTCACCTAGTCGTGCGTGTGCAGAGGTGGAGGATAGGCACGAGCAGCAGTGAGCTCCCCTTTGGAGAGCGGCACGGGGTGGGCTGGGCCGTGAGGGGAGTCCTGGGTGCCCGGCTGTGCCCGGGGCAGCGGCGCGAGTTTGTGGGTGCTCTGTGGAGAGCAGCTCCTGGATGGGCCCCGCGAGGCTCCCGCTGGGGGCTGCGGCTGCCCCGGCACGGGGCTGCCCTGGCAGAGGAGCTGCCGTCCCAACGAGGGGCTGGAGAAATGTGTTGCGTGGCCAGGAACCAGCAGCAGCCAGGACTTCTTGTTTGGTTACTTTTAAACTTTGTTTTGTGGTACGTGTGAAGTTTCACACTCAAAATTGCATCAAGCACCCTGTGAGCAGCACACCGGTCACTCGGAGTCTTCGGGACACCCTGGTGCGCAGTGAGGAGCTGACGGGCACTGGGATTTGCTGCTGAGCCCAGGTCCAGGCCCCTGGGATGGCGGGAAACGCGCCACATAACSGGGCTAAGCTCAGCTCAGCAGGTGGCTGGGTCACGCCTGCACGGCGCTGGTGCAGCCAGGACTCGGCTGCGTCCCGCGSAGAGGCTTCACAGCAAGGACCTGACAGGCTGCAGCTAAACTTGCTCCCAAGCCCAGGGAGGCCCAGGAGCTCTCCTAGCAGCCGCATTTCCTCTTGCATCCAGTGGAAACCAACGGGTCTCATCTAGGCCTTTTTATGTTCCACATCCATCTTTCAGCTTGCATTAAGGTTCACAACCCCTTCTCCTTTGCCTGTCCAAACACTCTGCAAGAGACTCAGCTTTCAGGATCTCTTTTTCATTCAAACCTGCCTTCAGCTTCTGCTGGGTTTGGCCATACCATGCACCAGTCTGCGCTGGGTGTTTTTGAGAAGCATTTATTGTGTTAAGGCGATTTTTAAKAGTTTTTTTTCTGAGCAAAAAAAAAAGACACTGTATCAGCCTGGGTTGAAGCTGTTTTATGTATTGCTCCTGTACGGCTGGCTGGATGCCCTTTCCCTTCCCCTCCTCTTTTACACGGCGGAGCAGGCAGAGATGATTGATGGCRTGTCACCAATAAATTGTCAAAGTCTGGAGCAGATTAATGAGTAAGAAACGGTGGCCTCTTCCCCTTCATGTGGGATTGTTTGAAGGAGGGCTCGTATTTTACCAGGACTGATATCCTGCATCTCCGGATCCCCCCAGTCAGGAATTGAAGGAAGGGATTCGTACCTGAGCTCCAAAGGGGATGGCCACGAGCAGCCAGGCCAACCTTTGGGACAACCAAAGCTCATCTTTCACTTGACCAACCCGCCGCTGCCCAGCGCCTCTTTTTCCGCTCAGGCCGCTGTCCAGGTGTGAATCTGTGCCAGCGGTTAATGTTTATACCGCTCCATGTCCTTGCAGACACAGCAGGTTCCAGAGCGGATGCCGGGAGCCCCACTCGGTGCCTGGTTTCCAGCTGGGGGACGTTGGAGGTGACGGGAGGGGTAGCGCCGGTGCCGCTCCGTGCCCCRGGGGAGGTTCTCTTGGTGCCTGGGCTGGTGGATCCGCAGCACCGGCCGGAGGCGCCTGCCTTGGCCTGAGCCTCCCGACCAGCCGCGAAGCAGGGAGGCACCCTGGCAGCTACCAGACCTCACGCCTGCCCCAAGCTACCGGTGTGGAAGTGCTTGGAATGCAATTCCAAAGAGAGATTCCGGCCTGAATCCTGGCTGTAGGGAAAAAATTCAGACCCGGAGTGGGTTGTTCCCTGCCTTTTCTCAAGGGTAGGCAGCATTTCCTAATCAGCTGTTCTGGTCCAAACAGATACCTTAGCATTGCTGCTTGTGCAGGCCCCAGTGGTGGCTTCCATCTCTAGGCTGGACTGAGGCAAGAAGGATGCCCATGTTCAGGCCAGGGTATCTGACCTGCAGCGGCTCGCGGGAGCCCTGCTGCTGCTCCGGACGAGTCTGCGTTTCTGACTACCCCAGCAACAGCTTTTCTTCCAGGGGAGCCACTTCTTGGTGGTTCTGGCCTCAAGTCTGTGGCTAACCAGCTAGAAGGTGGTTAGGCKCGATTGAACTCCTCTCAACACAAGGGCCTTTTCGTGTGCGGTTAGAAATCAGAGCTGCCGGTCGTTTTCTCATGGCCATTTAACATGCAACATAACAGAGAAAKCCGGATGTTTTAGTCTCGCAGGGTGTCTTTGCTGATCCGCTGCAGCCGTTTCCTTCCCGTCCTCCTGGCGGAAAGACCCGCGTGGCCTCGGGAACGACTGTCACCAAGCGCTTTCCAGATGCACTGACCCACCTAGAGCCCCGCGCCTGCCCTTCGCCTTCCTCTCTGCCTTGGCACGGGGCTGGCTACTTGGAGCCTGCTTGTCTGTTAAAAAAAAGGGGGAAAAAAAAGGCTGTGTAACCATTAATGATTTGTTTTTGTGGCCGGGAGCCACTGTGCTGCAGGACTTTGCTCTGATGGTGCTTTCACAAGAAAGAACTAATTTGCCTAACTTTATTAATTCCAGTTTGTTTTAAGTTTGCTCATTAGTAATTTCATGCAAGATGCTTCAGCTTGAAGAGGCCATGTCAGGACAAGGAAGAGCAGAGGGAAAGTGCCAGGAATCATTAGTGTTTATTAACCACTGCACTCATCAATCTTGACTAAGAGCACAGCCCATCCGTTCTGGACTGGTAGACTGAGACACAGAAATATCATCAAGAGTAGAAAAATGCTTCTTTTCAGGTCAGGCCATAATGGACAGGCTCTCAGACCCCTTCCCCCCAGCCAACCACCCCGTCACCCAATATTATCTCATTTAAGGCAGTCTCGTCGCAGACTAGCACAGCAGCCTTGCAAAAGGAGGGAGTCTTGCCCCAGCCAGCCATAATATCAATTAACAAATGCAGTCTTTTCATCGCAAGTAAACATTACTGAAAGGTTAAGTGTTGTTATGAAGGGTTTCTTGTTGTTGTTTTAATTGCTTTTCAAATTATTAAATGATTAATACTTAGGTACTTTGCTGGATCAGGCCTGGCACTCCGTGCTGGCAGCGTGTGCCTCTCCCAGCAGTTTATGAAATACTGGAATTGAAAGTTTTCCTTTTTTTTTTTTTTTTTTTTTNCCTCCTGATTAGCCAAAGAATTTAAGAAGTGATTTCAGCAACTACGGGCATTGGGCTGGTGACTCAAAGCTTTCTGAGCGGTGACTCAGGGCTCAATGAATGCCCTGAATCACTGGAGAGGGAGCAGAGATGCATCTGCCAGGTTTCTAATGGGAATCATAGCCCCTTCCCAGACCACTTGTGGTCATTAAAGATCACATTTCACTTTGAGATGCGTTTCCTTGCATCCTACCCAAATTGCAACTTGAGTAGCTGCATTCAGCTCTCTAAAATATCCCTGTGGTTTAGTTGGAGAAGTTGTTTTCCTTCCCCTCTTAAAAGCTTTGCTGTGTAGTGTTGTGGTCCTATCATAATACGTGCTGTATAATCTATAGAGAGCTAAAAAAAAAAAAAGAAAAAAAAAGGAAAGAAAAAAGCATCTTAGAAAGTGCTGCTCAGTTATCTGCTGTCTGCCCTGCTGCAGAGATTTGGGAGAAAAGGAGGATGTTGGGGACCCGGCTCAGCATCGTGTCCCCCTGTCAGCCTCTTTGCCACCCTGGGACGTGTGTGACAAGCCCTGTCACAWGCAGAGGCAGCGTTTTTACACTTGCTTTGCACGTGTAAATCTGTGCACAGGGCAGAGTGCCACGTGTCGAGTCGTAGACATAAGGTCTTTGGCACTGAGCGTGGTAGGCTTCGTGTTAGGATGCCACAGCCTAGAAACACGCAGTAAATTTAAAACACAGCATGGATGTTCAGACAGATTGTGTGTGTCATGACTTTTGGTGGAAAAGATTTAGGTATTTTATGGGGAAACGGTTTTATTGGCTGACATTCCGTGATAGAGAGGATGGAAAGAGATTGCAGTTTAATTAAAATTCTAATCCCAAGTTTGACAATTTTTCTTGCCAGGTCAGCAGCCTGCACGTTCTGTTTGTGAGTCTCACGAATTAAATGGGCTGACAGTCGTCAGCTCCCCCGAAATGCTGCAACTGCAGCTCAAAAATTAGCAAACATCAATATGTCACGCAGCAGTTTTCCACCAACGAACATGCAGAGGCCTTTCCATAAGCTCCAATTTATTCCATTGCTGCCAATGATTAAACACAAGTGGAGGAAAAAAAAACAGAAAAGACAAAAAAACCACCTTTTTATTCTGTCAGAAGCCACATTTATTGCCCGTGCTGCTGAAATCTCACGGGCACCTTTGTGTTTTGCAGGTAGTTAGCTAGTGTTGCCCGCGAGGCAGCGCCCGCCTTGCCCAGCCATGAGGCTTGCCCTGCTCTGCGCCTGGCTGCTGCTGCTCGGCCCGTGCCGGAGCGGAGCCGTCACCTTCCCCGAGGACGAGGACCCCATTAACGTCGTGGACTACCACTGTAAGCGACCTGCAAGTGGCACCGGCCGCCGGGGACAGCCTTCCCAGGAGGGGTTTTTAGGGATTGGGGKTTTTTTTGCCTTGGGAAGCTAAAAAATAAATTGTTTCCCTTCAAATTGAAATGTGTTTACTGGCGTTGTATCCTTAATAGAGCGCTTGATCACTTTCTTAAAAAAGCAATCAGAAATACAGCAATAACTTCAGGAAAAAAAGAACATTTGCTGACATTAGCCATCTTTTTTTTTTTTCATTTATATTCAAGACGGTATTCAAGGAATTTAGTTTAAACCCTTCTACACCTAGTATATACAGCTAATCAATGCCATATATTGATTCTTTAGCTCTATAATCCTGAGTGATGGTGTAGCCCATTTTTACTTGCAGATTCAAGGCAATATCCAGTATTTAGAGGACGCCCTTCAGGCAATGAATCTCAGCACAGACTGGACTTCCAACTGATGTTGAAAATTCGAGACACACTTTATATCGCTGGCAGGTAATTTTCCTTTAGTCAGTTCATTAGATAAAAATTCTTTTCTCTCCTGGTTTTGCATTAATGTGTAAAATTCATTTAGAAAAATCTGCAGAATATGATAAAAATTAGAACTGGGAGGAGGGYTTCCCAGAGAAATATGCCATGTCTGTGGTCAGTGCATGAAAATTGGATTTGAAGGCTGCAGTTACTGCAGTTATGCTAAAACCAATGATCAAATACCCTTTTCCCTCGTTACTGATGAAAGAGCTCTGATAAAAACCTCTCCTGATCATTTTAAACTTGCACTGACACATCAAGGATGTAGGAATAAGGCTGAAACACTTCAATATTTACAGTCTGGGTTGTGCTTCAGTAGTATGGAAAGACAAGAGCTGGGTAACTGGAAAGTAGAGATGCTTCCTGAGGACCACAGCCATGAACACAAAAATCTCTCTCTTACCGTCCATGCTCAACCTCCTCCTGTTTTTGCTGAAAAAAGAAAAGCCATGCAAGTTCCAAAGATATTTCTTGGCTGTCAAAACAATCTATAACGATAGATTTAGCTCATCAAAAGAAGTCCAATAGACTGATAAATTCCTCTGTATCTTTTTACTCCATTTGCAAACAGGGATCAAGTTTACACTGTAAACTTAAATGAAGTTCCAAAATCAGAAGTTACCCCAAGCAAGGTGAGTAGGGAGTGGCAAGGGAMGGTTTGTTTGCTATTGTTGTTATTGTTGTTGTTGTTATTATTATTATTAATTACTAAGATTTTTGTGGAGAGTAAGTCGGTTTCTTTTCTTGTTTGCTTTGAGCAGAAATTAACGTGGCGATCCAGGCAGCAGGACAGAGAGAACTGTGCCATGAAAGGCAAGCATAAAGTAAGTTTATCCTGTACATGGTAGAAGAAAACAACACTAATATTATGTGTGTATGTGAAATCTGTGATTTTTGTATCTTACTCTCTTTTCAGGATGAATGCCATAACTTTATTAAAGTCTTCGTTCCAAGAAACGACGAGATGGTGTTTGTCTGTGGAACAAACGCGTTTAATCCTATGTGCAGATACTATCGGGTAAGAACACTGCCTGGTATAAGTGTTCTTATACCAACCCTGGTGCTGCTTTTGCTTGCACTAATTATGTTATAGCAAGAATATCTAGTGTGACTATATGGAGACTGCTTCCAGGTGAGATACAGACAGAAGCCAGTGGGGCCAATTAAGTTTTGGAGGAAAACAGTATTATGCTCGTGTGCCACTGTATGAAACAGAAATGACACTATTACCCATTTATTTATTTTTTCTCTAGCTGAGCACCTTGGAGTATGACGGGGAGGAAATTAGTGGTCTGGCAAGATGCCCATTTGATGCCAGACAAACCAATGTCGCCCTCTTTGCTGGTAAGAAGTTTTGCTTGTAATGAGTCTAAGTGATTAATGACACCTAAGGAACCAGAGGGCTTTTAAAGAAGGCTTTGAAAAGCTAAAGGTGTCAAGGTGCCTCTGATCCTAAGTTTTTTTTAAACGGCCTCCAAAGGATTAGAAGCTGAACTGTTAATAAATAGGTTAGAGCAATTTGGGGAAGAGTGACAGCAAAAAAAATGGGAAAGAATACAGGTTCTCTGTATTATTAAAGGCCTTTTAATACCAGGTTTCAACTTCTGTTTTAGATGGAAAACTGTATTCGGCAACAGTAGCAGATTTCCTGGCAAGTGACGCTGTTATTTATCGCAGCATGGGGGATGGATCTGCCCTAAGAACAATAAAGTATGATTCCAAATGGATAAAAGGTAATTTGGGGGTTGGAGTAGGGGGTGTTTCTCATATGTAGAGTGAGCAGAATTTCAGCAGTGCTGGGGGGCAGGTAACTCACAGCCAGCATCTTCACCCGTGTGCCACAACATCGGTGTGTATGTGGCTTTTGATACAGTATGATCATAGTAAGAGCAATTTAATGCCCATAAAGCAAAATGTTGGTTAAATGCATCAGTGAATGACTCTGCAGTAACAAAGCCCTTAGCTGAAATTCCTGTGAGGCCCTTTCAGAGCCCATTAGCCAGCCCTGAAGGCTCTGAGCTCACTTAGGCTCAAAAGAGGCCGCGCTTGGAGATGCCCAGGGCAGCAGGATGGGCACAAGCCGGAGCTGCAGGGGCTGTGGAGCGGCCGCTGGGGCACCCAGTGTCTTCTACCAAGCAAACCCGTCCATGAAGTAACCTTCTCTTTGCTCTCTCTTACAGAGCCACATTTCCTCCATGCCATAGAATACGGAAACTATGTTTATTTCTTCTTTCGAGAAATTGCCGTAGAGCACAATAATTTAGGCAAGGTAGGTGTCRTCACAATAAGCCATCACATAGCCGTGAAGTCTTAGAATGAGATCTACCTGAAACAGCTTCAGTAACAAGCCTAGTTTGCARTATCAAGTGGGCATCAGTAGTTTTCCCATCATTATAATTTACAGGGGAAAAAAAAAATAGAACAGAGCAGTCTTCAGCCGTAAAGTTGTTTGTACTTTCTCTGCCTTGCCTTAAGAGAGTTCTCTACAGGTATCTTTTAATGCTGCTGTTTCTTTAGCACTTGTGGAAAGTCGTGGATTTGTTTATGTATTTCATGCTTATTAAAGAAACAACAGAAAACACCACAGAAGAGGGGTTTCAAAGAAGGTTCTCATGTTTCTAGATATTRAATAATTCAGTCATACCAACACAGCACATAATACTCTTGCCTCACCATGGAAGGTTATTCTATAATAAATTATTCAGTCCTTTACATGTGGTTAATTAAACTCTTTAAATCTCACTAACRATATGATTTTGGTGGGGGAAGAAGAGGTGGGGCCAGGCTGGAGGAGCTGCTTTKGCTCGGCGATGCATTAAGATGCCCGTGTGCGAGCAGCTAACTGTTGTTTACTTTCCTCCTGTCTCTGCAGATAAATGGCAACTATCTTCCCGTTAACAAAATTATCCTCAGTGTGTTATTAACAGCCCAGAAAAAAGTGCCGCTTTCCTTGCAGCTCTCAAGCCTTCCTCCCTTTTTCTCTTTTGTCCTTGGCAGGCTGTGTATTCCCGGGTGGCTCGCATATGCAAAAATGACATGGGGGGCTCCCAGAGGGTCCTGGAAAAACACTGGACCTCCTTCCTGAAGGCTCGGCTCAACTGCTCCGTTCCTGGGGATTCGTTCTTCTATTTCGATGTGCTGCAGTCCATCACAGACATCATAGAAATCAACGGGGTCCCCACCGTGGTCGGTGTGTTCACCACACAGCTCAACAGGTGGGAGCGGYGCCACGTCGCCTCCAAGGCCTCTCTGTCCCCCACTTGCTGCTGTAGCCCGAGTTCTCAAACTGATTTTTCTTGCTCGACAGCATCCCCGGCTCAGCAGTGTGCGCTTTCAGCATGGATGACATTGAGAAGGTCTTCAAAGGGAGATTTAAAGAACAGAAGACTCCTGACTCTGTATGGACAGCTGTACCTGAAGACAAAGTACCAAAGCCAAGGTAAAAAATTCTTGCTCCGGACACAATAGTTTTACCCTTGTAAAGAGCTGCGTTAAAAACAGCTACGCTCTTGAGTGTCTCATTGGGTAGCAACAGAGCCCAGCTTTACACTTCAGCCATACAAATGCTCATTAGTAGGCTGGCTGCTCTCATTAACTAAAATACCAAGAGGAAAAACAATGTTGTTCTCCTTTCAGACCTGGCTGCTGTGCAAAACATGGCCTAGCAGAGGCTTACAAAACCTCCATTGATTTCCCAGACGAAACGCTCGCCTTCATCAAGTCTCACCCTTTGATGGATTCAGCTGTCCCCTCAGTCATCGAGGAGCCCTGGTTTACAAAAACACGTGTCAGGTATGGCTTCATTCAGAGAGAAGAGATGTGAAAATGAAAACAAGAAAGCATGCTGGTAATTAATGATAGGCCTTTTGGTTTTGGTAGATACAGGTTGACGGCAATTGCTGTAGACCATGCTGCTGGACCCTACCAGAACTACACAGTCATATTTGTTGGCTCTGAAGCAGGAGTAGTACTCAAAATCTTGGCAAAGACCAGATCTTTTTCTTTGAATGACAGTGTATTACTGGAAGAAATTGAAGCTTATAATCATGCGAAGTAAGTATTACTAGAACGCCTAAAATACTTAGCTCTTGTTCTAGTCCTTGGTAGCTAGCTTAAAAAATAATGGTTGTAAAACAAAAACAACTCATTATCGCCATCATCGCTTGTTTGTCATTCCACAATGGGTTTTTTTTGTGTGTTGGATAACCTGAAAATATTTGGGTACTTGCCATTTTTCATGGGTTGAGTGAACAACCCAATTCCACTTGAGTGACGTCAGTGACACAATCTAATACTTCTGCAAGTAGATACACTTTTTCCCTGAATATCAAACATCAGAACTATATACTGCTATTAAAAAGAAATGATGTGAGCTTATCTTGAGGGTTTCTGAAGAGTGACCAATAATAGATAAGCCACTTCTAATCATTTTAAACTTGTTTATTCTGGAGCAAAGACTTCTGGAACGGAAGCATTCCAATTAGGCTCCCTGGGCACCCTGTGCAGGACTCCTGTTCTGCTCCCTGGAGATGTTTATGCCAACTGAGAGAACAAAGAAAATGGGATGTGGATTTTTTTCTCCTACATAGTTCAGCGAGATTGTCACCCAGCTGTAAATAAGAGCCAGAAGCCAGCATTTGATAACCCGTAGCACTGTTTAATAATCACTTAGCAAAGACCAGTAAGTTATTTTTATATACATAAAAAGCTGCTTTTCAGAGCCTACACAGACAGCAAATGAAACCGTTGCCAGTGTAAGTGCTGCACAGAGTACCAGAGGTGCTAAAACCAGGACTTTGCCTGATTTGTGCCAAACAGGTGTAGCGCAGAGAGCGAGGAGGACAGGCGAGTGCTGTCCCTGCAGCTGGACAAGGAGCACCACGCGCTCTTCGTGGCCTTCTCCAGCTGCGTCGTCAGGATTCCTCTGAGCCGGTGCGAGCGGCACGGAGCGTGTAAAAAGTATGTCCTTCTTCCGCACATCCTCTTTAAAGGAAGGGTACAGCCGTCCCCGGGGAAGGAAGTAAAAGTGCCTGATTTTTGTCATGTTTTTTCTCTTGCAAGGTCCTGCATTGCGTCCCGGGACCCGTACTGCGGCTGGTTAGACCATGAGGCTTGTGGAAGAGTGAAGCCAGGCATGCTGTAAGTGTCGCTGCTCAGATTAGCCCGGCGTCCCTGCCATGTTTTATAGACCACAGGAGCCCCGATCATACGCCTGTTCCCTTGCACTCAATTAATACCTCTCCCTTCTTTTCAGAGCTGTTATTTTCATGTACTGTCTTGATAGAGGAACAGAATGCTAAAGTCTGACCTAATTCTGAAATCTCTGGGTGAAGACTGGCTTTCAGTGGGAGTGTAAGGACAAACAGCCCTGTAGGAAGAAGAGGGGGAAGCAGGAAGGTGACAAGTCACTGCCTGTAAGCCCAGGCAGTTTGGTGCAGTATCCCCTCYCAGGCACACTCATGGCCCGGGCTCATTCAACTGAAATACATGTTTTGGAGMGGGGAAAGGAGATGTTGACTCCTCACAGAAGCTATGACAATACATACACACACACACACGTACATATATATATCAAAGGCATTTTGCACAAATCAAGCCTGTACTACACAGTGTATTAGCAACCATAGGTAGCAAAGGTAGCACTGTATAGGCCAGCTCAGTTAGTGGAAGTGGCTGGCAGTATCCAAACCAGGAGCAGTCCCAGTGTAGAAAGGATCATGAAGTTACTGAAAAAAATTGATCTTTTCTYCTTTGTGGCATAAGCAAATACAATTTTAAAGACTTGATGTCACCTGTGCACTTTGTAAATAATTTTATGACCACATACTAGCTTTTGTATCTCTAAGTTGACTGAATAAATATGTTTCCATTTGTTGCTTCCAGAARAAAAAAGAAAATCACCCTTTGTTTCCCTACCAATACTGTTAATTGCAGGTTCTCTTTGTTTGTTTCATACAACCACAGCACTGGAGGGTTCATCCAGGACGTCGAATACGGCAACACAGCGCAGCTTGGGGACTGCCATGGTAAGACATAGCCACTGCCGCTCACTTTTGTAACGTGCCAGCACTAGTTTGTGGCTGCACCTCACTGTGGATGTTAAATTTATGATGAGCTTTTCAGTAACATGATGAACACATCACCTGGCGTTACTGTGAATGTTCACAAAGCTGAGCTTTTTGGTCCTGGGTGGCAGAGTTTACCTTTCTTCGCCTTCACCAATTTACAACTGTTTGGGGTCTACAGCAAAGTACTGAAGAATCTATTTTTTAAAACCAGTAATATTTTAGTTTTTATTTTCCGTCACTCAAGTTTGAGATCTTTTGCTTTCTTTTTTGTTACTTTTCACTGATTACTTGTTCCTTTAATTCTTTTAGAAATTTTGCCTACTACAGCTACACCAGATTACAAAATATTTGGCGACCCAACATCTGGTTAGTTTTTTTTAATTTTTTTGAATTAATGACCTTTACTTTCCTTCAGTTCAGCATTTTCAGCCCTTTTTTCCTTCCTTTTGCACAGTTGGCAATCCTCCATTTTTGTGCTTTTACTCATGTTCCCACTGATGGTAAAGATAGYCAGACTCTTCTCACTCAGCACTTCACCCTGTGTAGTCGCATGTTAACAGCTCATTATTTATTGAGCCATCTTTTAAAGAGCCTGATTAACATAGATGACATCTTCACTGCACGAAAGTCCACTAAGCTTTACTCTTCTCCCCAGCCATGCATTTGTGAATGCCCCTCTTGGTCATCTCTAGTAGATGAATGGCAAAAATATCATCATCTTCCTTCGTACCTCTCCTTTCCTCTTTCCTTCTTCCCCAGCAAACCTTTTGCACAAATACACATTTTCTAAAATGTGTATTTCTACATTTTTGAAATGTTTTAAGGAGTTTGTGCTAATGGAAATAATTGAACATCACAAATTTTGTAGCTGAATGAGGACTTGTGTAGACAAAGGTGGATCAGAGAACYTGATGCGTTGCTATTAGATGGACAGATGGACTTTCACATCCTTTTCTCTGTCAGTGATTTTTCTAGCAGTGTTTCCAGTCTCAGGCCCTGCTGTGCAGGGGGACAGGACCCAATGCTCCTCTGTTGAACTCAAAAGCAGAACCTGTATTGACTTCAACAGGAGCAAGCCCCAGCCATTATTTCCCAGAGTTTCCTCCCGGAACGTGGTTTGTGGTTTCAAATTGAGACACATTTCTGATTGTTAGATCTGAAACAACTCTGCTTGCATGGTGAACCTGTAAGAGTGCGACAAAATATTTTGTGTGTTGGTTTCTGATAATATTTTCACTTCTGTAGCTTGACAAGAAGTAACGTTTGAGACAATTATTTTCCAGATTTATTTACCATAATGTAGGCTAGAGAGTCCTTTAGGAAGGAGTCATTACAGGAAAATGCTAGCTTACTTGCCTGAATGTGTACTGTATCGATTGAGTTTTCCAAGGGGTATTTTAGAAAACAGAGATAATTGAACCTGATTTTCAAGCCCTGCATTAGCAAGCTTTTGGAGTACTTGCTTTTCTGGGTCAGATCTCAAGCCACTGCCAGTGGTGTCCACACCGATGTGAGCAGCGTGCACGCAGTGCTGCTGGGGTGGCCAACAGGCTCCAGCTGTAAGCCTGGCTTGAGCTGTCTCCACCTAGGCCATAGCAACTCCATTCAAATGGAATTATTATTAGCAAATAAACTAAAGGAGAGCCCAAATCCGTACAGCTTTGTTCCTTAGTTACATCATAAAAGAGAGGCTAAAAAAATTCCCTCCCCTCTCTCCAAAGGAAGGGCTCGCTTCAGCAGGTCCTGGTAGGCTATAGTGGCACTCATGGAGCTCATCTGGTTTCTCAGATAACCTGTCAGGAGCACGTGTCTTTCTCAGAACCACAGGATGGTTAAGGTTGGAAGGGCTTTCCAAGGCTTTTTTTTTTTTCTGAAGATATTTAAAAGACATAAAAGATAAAATGTTGTCTCCAGTGAACAATATACCAATTAAGTAGAATAAATTGTGCTTTTCACCTCCACCAATTGCTCACTGTAACTTCTGCACTGCTTTCATGTTTGACTTCTCTAGCTTTTTGTCTAGCAGCTGTTGATGTTTTAATGTATTTTTTTGTACTTAAAGTTTTCAACTGATTGATTTTAATCAGCCCTCTGTACTTCTGGAAAGTGTCGGGGTCACGTTTTACTCTGACATGTAACTCCCATTAAATACTGTCTCCAGCTATAGCTTAGATGTGCCATGAAACACTGAGGAAAGCCTGACTGTAATACACATTAATAAAAATCTGTTTGCCACCACAGACATGGAGTTCTCCTCAGCTTCCATTACCACAATGGCAAGTATCCCAGTTATATCACCTAAAGTGATTGGTTCCTGGAAACCTAAAGTGCCTGGCTCTCGGAAATTTGTAGTTCAAGATGACCCAAACACTTCTGATTTTTCTGATCCATTATCAGGTGTCCCAAAGGGTAAGGCCTTACCAGGGAAAATATATTGCTGCTGAATGGAAACCTGATAGTCTCAGCATTTTCTAAGATTTAAACACAACAGCCGTGATTGTTGGGCTGCAGTTTATATCCATTTCCTGTGACTATGCAGACAGTGCAATCATGTTGCTCATGCCTATTTATTTGCTGTACAAAGTGATGCTTAGAGATAAAATGTTCAGCCTCTTTTCCTGGGGGGCTCCAAAGCTCCCATCAAAATCAGCAGGAGTTCTGTATGCATTAAAAAATATATATATAAAAGTTCTGCCTTACCTGCACTTCACTTGTTTATTTCCAAGCCAGTCTAGTTTGGATAAGGTTACTAGTGCTTAGGAGTAGTTGTTTACAAGCAGCATCTAAAATTTAATGCTTTGGGGCAGGAGAGGGGAAATTAATCACAGGGCCCACTTGACAGATCCGTGCTCTAAGTGGGGCACATGCCAAACCCGTGCTGCCTGCAGCAGGGCTGTAGAGATCGTGGCTCCCATCTGAGTGAGGACACGCGGAATTTTTATTCTCTGGTGTTGAGCACAAGTTTACGAAGCATCTCAGTGCACACACACACAYACACAGAGCTTTTAATCTGAGCCCTAAAAGAAGCATCTCTGACTGTAATTCATCTTCTGTAAGATGTTCTTTCAGCTAAGTGAAGCTCAAATTACAGGCGCAAAGATTTCAGTTCAACCCAACAACACTGCCCTCAGCTACAGGAACCAGAGCTTCCCACCCCATGGCCAACATTTCAAGCAAGTCTTTACCAGTACAGGAGCAGCCGGATGACAGACATGTTTGCACAATTCTGTATTTGCTGAAAAATCTCACCTGCTAAAAACCATTCCTGTTTTATTACCATTCACCAAAACATATCAGGTTTCCTATCAGCCATTATGGCAGTGCATTTGTCATTTTAATTCGTTGCTGTTGTTTTCCATTTTGCTTTGTTTAAATTTTTGCTATCATTTGCTCTTGGTTCTCAGTCATAATTTGTGTCAAAGCTGCTAGTGAACTTTACACGTGATTTTTTTTCTTCTTCTGCACGGTGCCATTAAAACCTATAACCCTGAACATTAACGATGTTCAAAGGCCTTGCCTCTAACAAAAGCAGATCTGTTCCTTCACTCTTGCTCTTTCATTTTAACATCCTCTGGGATAGTTAACAGAATTACTTTCATTAAAAACTAACATAGTCTTAGCTGCAAGATGTCTGTGGTTGCGCTATAAATCTCAAAAAAACAAAGGGAGCCTGTATTAATATGTGAATCACAAACTAATCCAATATTCAACTTCTTGGTTTAAGCTGAAAGTTTTCTAAATTTTAACAAGCGCTTATAACATCATTTAACCTTGCAAGGTTTTGTAATGATGTGCCAATGTGTTTGATCATTATTGACTAAAAAGAGAGGGGAAAAACCTAGTGCATTAATAGAATAACATAGTGTTGAGTTTTAAGAGTTATACACTTGCCTAATACAAAGTGCACCTCTCCAAGGCTAGCAAACTATTAGTTGGTGTCGTATTAACATAGTTATAACAACCCAGTATGTTTGCTACACACTTTTATACAACRTTTGCATAATCTTGTCTCTCTTTTGATACTGATTTATGAGGTGGGCAGGAAATTGAGAAGGAAATCTGTCCGTGAGTTATTAATTGTTGTCTGGCCAAATAACACCTTCTAACCTCAATTTTCTAGCAGAAATGGTTAGAGTTAATAACATACAAGCCCCTGTTCTGTGAGCCTTAAAGGAAATTTGGGGACAGACTAAACCAATATAGCTTATAACCAAGCATAATACAAGAAGTGAAGCACTGACGAGCATTCCTCGTTAGCAAAGAAAATGGGAAGTCTTCATTTGGACTGCTACTAACATAGTACCTTCTATGTATAAAGCTGCTGGCATTCACCAGCTCGCAGAGCGCAGCTCAGTTAAGCTAACCCTGGGTGCAGGGCTCTTACTAAGCCTGCAAGTAGCTCCTGCTGCCCTTGCCTGAGGGGTGGCTGCTGCCTGCTTCTGAAATGCAGCCGCATGTGCATTTATCATATACTGTGTGTCTCTTGCAGGTGTGAGGTGGGAAGTGCAATCAGGAGATTCCAACCAAATGGTACATATGAATGTCCTAATCACTTGTGTCTTTGCTGCTTTTGTCCTGGGAGCCTTTATTGCGGGAGTGGCCGTTTACTGCTACCGGGATATATTCGTGCGGAAATCCAGAAAAATACACAAAGACGCCGAATCGGCGCAGTCCTGCACCGACTCCAGCGGCAGCTTTGCTAAGCTCAACGGGCTGTTTGATAGTCCCGTSAAGGAGTATCAGCAAAACATCGATTCACCCAAGCTCTACACAAACCTGTTGACRAGCAGGAAGGAGCTGCCCCCGAACGGCGACACCAAGGCCATGATGATGGACCCCCGGGGCCAACCTCCCGAGCTCGCGGCGCTGCCCACGCCCGAATCCACGCCAGTTCTCCAGCAGAAGACCATGCAGGCCATGAAGAGCCAGTCGGACAAAGCGCACAGCAACCTCAACGCCTCGCGGAAGGAAGCGCCTCTAAAAAGCCCTCAGTTTTTTCCCTCCAGCCCTCCACCCCATTCTCCTCTGAGTCACGGCCACATCCCGAGCGCCATCGTGCTGCCCAACGCCACCCACGATTACAACACATCCTTCTCAAACTCTAACGCGCACAAGGCAGACAAAAAGATGCAACATCTTGATCACCCACTTACAAAACCCTCCAGCAAAAGAGACCACAGGAGATCTGTGGACTCCAGGAACACCCTGAATGATTTCCTGAAACACTTAAATGAAACTACTAGTAATCCCAAAGCAATTATGGGAGATATTCAAGTGGCCCACCAGACTTTAATGCTGGATCCGATGGGAAATATGTCGGAGATCCCACCTAAGGTTCCCAACAGGGAGGCRTCTTTATACTCTCCTCCGTCGACTCTTCCACGGAACAGTCCCACCAAGCGGGTGGACGTTCCCACCACGCCTGCGGTCCCCATGACCTCTTTGGAAAGGCAAAGAGGTTACCACAAAAATTCTTCGCAAAGGCATTCAATATCTGCCCTTCCTAAAAACTTAAACTCACCAAATGGTGTTTTGTTATCCAGACAGCCTAGTGTTAACCGCGGCGGGTACATGCCCGCCCCGGCGGGCACAAAGATGGACTACATGCAAGGGACGCCCGTGAGCGTCCACCTCCAGCCTTCCCTGTCCAGGCAGAGCAGTTACACGAGCAACGGCACCCTCCCTCGCACAGGCATAAAGAGGACACCCTCCCTAAAACCTGACGTGCCACCAAAACCTTCCTTTGTTCCCCAGACAACGTCAGTCAGACCACTGAACAAATACAGCTACTAGGACTGGTCTGGGCTAGGAACGAGCGTGGCGGCGGCCTGTGCAGGTTGTGAGATGCTGTTTGGTGTGGGAGACACGTAAGACAGAGACTTGCTTGTAATTAAAAAGAACAAAAAAAAAAAAAAAAAGTGGCCAAAGAAACTGTCTTTACTTCAGCAACATCTGTGTCTTGCCACCATGTAGCTATAGCAAGACTTGGTGCACTTGCTAGGAGCAAACTAACAAAAACAAAGGAAAGTGCTGGTCATTACATTTCTTTTGTTTGGAGCTAAGGAGACATGTAGCACAACGGGGTGGGGGCTACTTTACTGTTCTAAATAGCTGAAAAAAGTTCCTGGAAAGAAAAAAAAAAAAAAAAAAATCTGTGAGCAAATACTTGAAAAATGGGTTCCATTTTAGACTGCCGTTAAACGTGGTCCTTCCCATTAAATGTGAACATTTTAATATGTATGCATTCACCTTGCCTCTTGCACAAATGTCAGAAAATGGAAATGTCTCTATGAATATCTGGGCTAATAATCGATTTGCTGGAATTCAGTCTCTGGCCCAACTGTAGCATTATGGTTTTTCTTTTTTGTTTTTAATTCCTGTCCATGTGTGTGGCATGTTGTTGGTGCCACCGATCAAGCTGTGCGTGTGTGCGTGGATGTGCGTGTGTACTGTACACACTAGGATGTACTTAGGTTCCCATTGCATCTTTTATGCTATGGAATTGTTTACATTGAGCACGACTGAGCAACCAGGCAGCTCTTCCTCGGGCAGCGCGCGGCTCGGGAGCGGCGGGAGCCGCCGAAGGAGCGCGGGGACGGTCAACCCTTCCCGCCCCGGGCGCGCTGCTCTGGCCTCACAGCTCTGCATTTCACCCCTTGGGCTGCCGTGGGGGGGTTTGCTGCCCCCCCATCCACTACCCGGCCACTGTGAACTCGAGCCCTGCACTTCTCCTCGAGGGCAGCTAATAATCAGCAATTTGCTTGGCAGCGGCCTGTGTCACGCACCGGGCTGCGGCTTKGTGGCGTTTCGTGATGCCCTGCACTCTGATAGACTCTTGTCAGTAGAAAGGAAGAACCAGTAATTGGCCTGGCAGAAGCAGCCTGTGAAAACTCAACAGTAGTGCAATCAATTTGTTTTTGTTGTGTAATGTAAGAGGTTTTTTTTTTTTTTTTTCCCGAAGTCATGCAGGTAATGACAATATTCTGTAAATATTATGTGTGAGTTTACCTGAATCTGTGCATTTTGTGCCTTATCCATGCAAATGATAAAAGTACTAAAAAAAAAAACAAAAAAAAACCTGTCAAGTGTTCTCACTATAGCACATATTTCCTGAGTGCCAGTGTAAAAAAAAAAAAAACCTCTCAACAGCGCCCAAAAAAAAAAAAGAGAGATGAAAGGCAAGAATAATTAACGATAACTAAAGGCAGCCTACAATCCAAGAAGACAGCAGCATTAAATCACCTTGCCATGATAAACATTCCACCCCAGCTCTCCGAAGGATCAAACAGTTATAATGCGAAATCAAATGAGGTTTCTAGGGTAATGGAACACCTGCTGAAGTTGTGTAAGCCATTTAGTAGGTTTTACAGTATCCACTTGCAGCTGATGTTCAACACAGATGGCTATTTTAGCTTGCAAACACAGACTACCACATTGTTTATTGAACATAACTCTAGAAATAACCGTGGCAGAGGCGTAGGCATGAATTAGCGGGACAAATAACTGTGATGGGTTTCAGAGCCGAAGGAGACTTATATGATCTGTTTGAAGGGGAGAAAAGGTTAGTCACTGAAAACTGGATCTCTGTTACAGAACAAAGAATAAAGGATAGAAGTAGTCATTTTTTATGGTAAGGCTGTAAGGGACATTTATTTCCTGAGACCTCTGGATCCAAAAATCAATGATCTCTCTTCCTAAACACTTCTGTCTTGCAACTAAAAACACTACAAGATTAATATCTATTAAAAATGTACTCAGTTGTCAAAAGACAAAAACTGATCCGAATTCACTTTACAAATATTAATTCAGACTTGTGTGAAAACAAAAGATAAATGTATGTGAACCCTGATAACCTCCTGTAACATTGTGCTGCCTTGTAGATGGTAATGTGAGTTCTCTCAGTATTTATGTTGAAATTTCTAACATTCAACCTAGTCTTTATTCTGTTAATTTAATAATAAAAGATGCTTTATCCATTTGTGCAAAGGTAAACGCAGATTGTATCTTTTTTAATGGTACGGCATAAAAAAGTAACCCTTAAATGAAGCTGCTCTATACTATAGAGTACTTTAACATGTATAGATATCTTGTAAACTTGTATTGTGGATGTGTAAATAATACGTTCTTTGGGTTTTTAACACCGCATGTAAAGTCAAAAATAAACTATTCCGATGTAGCACCCGTGTGGCTTCCTGGTTCCCGAGGCAGTGCCGGCTCCCRTTCAGGGTGAGGAGGGTGCAGGACCCTCCTGCATCAGCACGTGGGGGAGCAGAGAGTTTGTGGGGTTCACTGCAGCCCTGCATGGACATGCAGGGTCGTGGGAGCCCCAGTTAAATATAAAACACCAAAGGAACCAGCCTGGCTCCGGAGGAGCAAAGCGGAGCCCGCTGAGCCCGCAGGAAACCCACACCGTGGCTGGATCCCTCTTTCAGTGGGTTCCTCTGAAGCTTCTTTYACCAAAAATACTCATTTTGTGCAAATACAATCCTGTTCTTCTAAGAGTGAGTCAAAGAAACAAGAAATCACTCCTGGCAAAATTAATGGCAAACCTACAGATCATTCCTAAATACTTACTAATGCTTAGTAATTGAAATTCATGTCTCAGACAGATAAAACAGCCCAATAGAAATATACGTGCCATATATTCAGTGTGTGCCAATATCATACGTCATTTTAAAGTAATCAGGGTAATTTAGTATCACAAAGCAAATGTGAAGTATTCTTTTAATTAAAAGTTGATTTTTAGATAATGGAGTTTATGCTGTCAAGGTATTAATCACTTGAAATTACTGTGCGTGTTAATGCAATAGCACTTAGCTGTATTTTACTTAAATAAATAAAGTTCTTTTAGGAAGATAGACGCGAGGAAAGTACATGTCACAGTACTAAACAATAACCCAAACTCGTAATGTCCCAATGTGTACTTCCTAACGTGCATTCCTAATGCAGAAGCCAATATAAATTTCTTATTACTGATGTGATTTTCATTGGATGCACAGAAGGAATGCAGAGCCAAACATCCAGAGCTGCCATTTGCTGCAAACCTGTGCTGCTGCTCGCTGGAAAATTACCTGTAAGGTGGAGGTGCCAGTGCTGCATCCAGCGGTGCCCCTTCYGCCAAGGAGCTCCTGAGCCTCGACTGCCTCCATCCGCTCATCTAGACCTTAGAGGGTATGAAAAACCACAAGGAGTTATTTTAACTGCACACACACATACACAGCCGGGACACAAACAGAGGCCTGTTTTTGCTTAGAAATAGCTGTATTTATTCTATCCATAGCTGTATTTTTTCCTACCCATTTAGTCTATCCATCAAGCAAGCATTTTCCACCAGCAGCTTTTTTGGTCTACATTAAAGCAGCCGGCCCTGCCCTGGAGTCTGTCCTTGCTGGACACGTCTAACAGAGCCGGTGGCCAACACCACAGAGATCTGTGGAAGGCCATAGTCAACAGCAGTTGGAAGAACATAGGTGCAAGAAAAGCTCTTTTACATTATATATATATATATATATATATATATATATATACTTTATATACATATATATATATAAAGTAGTCTCGCCATCAACTAACAGAGTTAGGGAACACAGCAGCTCATGGCTAAAACTAGCTGTAGCTGCAGCTTTGAAACTACCTTGTTCCCAGTGATGCCAGTGCGGACATCAGCAGCGCCCTCTCGGACAGGACTTGCGACAAACGCTGAGGCTGGGCAAGACAGGGAAAAAGGCCATTTCAAGGAGTTTTCTCCTCAAATGCTGTGCTGAATGGTTGGCTCCATGTATCAAATAATTTCCCTGGAATGACAACTCACGGCTCCRGAGGCATCGTGTGAGTGGGGTCCAGATGCCCCACGTGCTGCCGGCTGTTGGGACAGGCCAGTCCCAGCTTGAGRCCTTGCCCGGGCTCCTCTGCCTCCCCTTGGCATCCGCAGGCACCCGGAGCTGCAGCGAGTCTGAAAGACGAAGAGCACAAAGGCAAGTTCAAAAAGAATGAACGAGAGAGAAAGAGAGAGAGAGAGAGAGAGGGAAGGAAGGAAGGAACGAGAGGGAAGAAGGAAGGAAGGAAGGAAGGAAGGAAGGAAGGAAGGAAGGAAGGAAGGAAGGAAGGAAGGAAGGAAGGAAGGAAGGAAGGAAGGAAG